CCAGTGTTCCCCCCTTGCTGCCTTTGGATGAGGTGGACACAGCCTCACTCTGGCTGCTTCTCCTATTGAAACCAACCCTCCTTGCCTTCAGCTTGGGCATTCCCACTGTTGTGGTGTATTCACAGGCACCTCAGCCTCGGTTTTGCTGTGTTAGTCCCTGCAGTGATTTAGCACCTTACACCAGCTGTCAGTACCCTGAATCTGAACTCCCTTTGCTTCCCAAACACTCCCGACTGCAGCGGGGAGCCCGGGGGTACCTGCCAAGGCGCTGGTGCTGCCGTGGGCCCAGCAGGAGCCGCAGTACTGCGGGATGTGCTGGTTCCGAGTGGTGCTGGCGTAGTTCACCCCGTTCACGTTCCGCCAGTCCCAGCTCTGCGGCAGCGCCGACACGTCCAGGTACTCGTGCGGGCGGGGATAGGTCCTGGGGAGGGGGGAACGGGACGGGGAGGGAGCGCCGGCATCCCCCGGAGCAGGACGGCCGGGTGTTATTTAAAACAAAACAAAAAACAAACAAACAAAAAAAACCCCAAAAAATCAAACCCCACGGATTTCACCGAGTTTCATAACGAGCCCGCGAGTGCCCGCCGGCGTCACGTGACCGATCCGGCCCCGCGGTCTCGTGACCGCCCCCGGCCCATCCCGGACCCCAGAGCGGCCCCGGGAACCCCCGAACACCCCCGAAATCCTCAGGGAACGCCTGAAATCCCCGAACCCCTCGGGCTCCCCCAGACCCCCCCGGACACCCTCGAAACCCCCCGGGAACCCCTGAAATCCCCCGGACCTCTGCGGGCACCCCCGAAATCCCCGAACCCCCCCAAGACCCAGCTGTGCCCGCCCAGCCCTCCCCATGGCTCCTCTCAGCCGTGCCACCCGTGAGGGGCCGGGGGCGAAGCGCACCTGAGGCCGGGCGCCCTGCGCGGGGCCGGGCGGTAGCAGTGCTGCCCCTCCCTGAAGTGGAGCCCGGCGCGGGCGGGCGGGCAGAGGCAGCCGCAGAGCAGCAGGAGCGCGGTGAGGGCCGGCAGCGGCGGGGCCATGCTGGAACAGCGGCGGCTGCCGGGCTGCGGCCGCGCCGGGGTTTGAGGGCGGAGGGGAGGAGCGGAGGCACGGGCGGGGCCGGGCCGGGCTCACCTGCGGCGGGCGGGGACAGCGGGCCGGCCCTCGCCCTCCTCGGTGCCGCCTCAGCGTGTCCGAGGGAGCTCTGGGGAACGAGGAACAAACTCGATCCCGCCCTCCCAGCCCCCAGTGGCGCTTCCAGCTCAAAAATTCGGTCACATGAGTTGTGATTGTATCTGGGACAGGCCCTGTCACAGGTTTCTTCACCTTTGGCCTAACACCTCAGCATTGTACTAGACTGTGGCCAGAGACTGTGACTGGGTTTTTTTGTTTGGTTCTTGTTTTTTTCCCTAGTCCCAAGTTCTTGGATTTCTCAAGCGCTTTAATGCTACAATTAGCAAAGGAACACAAGCCTGGGTCCATTTTCTAGGCTGCTCCTTAAGGATTGAATACCTGAAAGTTCTTCATTATTTGCTAGAAGATTTAGTCAATAGTAAAAATAGTTGTCTAATTTTCCTGCAGAAGCTTCTAGTGACTGTGTGAATAGATTATCAGTCTCTTTTGCATACATTAGGTAGAAGTTTTCATGTTTGATAAACAGGTTTAGTAAACCACAAACAGTTCTCCCCTCCTAGCTTCTCTTCCTTGGCTTTCAGCACTTTTTGTAGAGGGCCTGAGGTTTATTAGCTCCACACGATGAGCAGAGAAACTGAGGCACAAGCACACCAAAAGGAACAGCAGAGCACGAATGGAGCCTGTGAGTTGAATGCATTGGTTTTGGTATCGTTATTAGGGGTGATTCAGCTAGCCCAAGGTAGTTAAGACTTGCATCAGCTTGTCTGGCAGCCATTCACAGATCTCTGTAAAATTACCTGATGCCCTGTAGCCAGGCTTATCTCAAACTGAATAGGCTTTCCTCTCAACAATCTTCTCTGCTACTCTGAAAAGCCAGTTCCTTCCAAGCAAACCATTAAAAAAGATTACCCCAGAATGCCTCCTTGCACGTGCATGTTTATTGGGAGTAGTGTTAAAAAACCCAAAAACCAACCAAGGAAACAAAACCAACAACAAATAGCCCAGCAACCACAAAAGCCTTGTGTCTTTGTGGTCTCAGCTCGAGCCCATCAGCAGGGCTGTGGCATCTGGGAGCAGCGGCGGCCTGATAATGTGCCCAGTGCCCCAGCGGTGCCCAGTGCCAGGCTGCTCCTAATCTCCCCCGTGCCAAAGCGCCTGAGAGCTGCCCCAGCCAGCTCAGCCCCTCTCCGCGGTGCCTCTCTCTGCTAATCTGCAGCTGCACATGGCGCTGCTGGGTTAGCAGGCCTGGGCTCCTCTGCGCTGAGCAGGGACTGCGGCTGAACCTCCACAGAAACAGCCCCTCCTAGGCCGGGTTTGGATAAACTCAGACAGAAATGCAGATGGGGAGGAGGGAAAAGAGGCCCAAGCCCACAAACATCTCAGCTGCCCGGTGTCATGTGCCAGAATTTTTAAGGCTCTATAAGGAAGCACTTCAGAGGAGGCACATGATTCTGGGGAGCTATTTTCAGCAAGAGGAAAAACCCCTATTGAGTGATTGCTTATTTCTTTTGCTTCCCTTTTCCCCCTTTCCTTGTGAGATGTGCTCAGGGAATTTATTTAATGCTGAAATTATTTTGTTAATTTTTCTGGACAGTGAATTAGCACCTTCAGCCTCTTCCTAAGCTGTGTCTATTGTGAATACATTGCATATTTTTAATTTATATTAATTTATATTTTTTTATCAATTAATATAACTTTTAATATTGTATTTATTTAGTATTTGTTATTGACATTGTATCAATGTCTATTCAGAATGCAGCAGTTGAATACACAACTCAGATGTGCATTACTGCTCTTAGCTAAGGATGGTTGGAGAAAACAAGTACAAAATGTGCATAAATAAAATGAGATATGCTTTTTAAGTAAATGTCCAAATAACCTTTACAGAATTTTCTTAGGGAATTGTAGAAGATATCCAAAGCTATTGTGGGAAATATTGACAATGTGGCAATGGAACAGAACATTTTGTGTGTCTTGCTGGGTAAACTGAATGGCTTAGAGAATACTTATCTTTTGGAAAATTATAAAGTGATAAAATGATAGTGTTTTAAGGAAACAAAATGAAACTACTTGCATTTGAAGTCCTCCTTTCAATGCTCCCTAAGCAGTGTGCTCACAGCATGGCAGAGGATGACAGATGTTTGCTCTCTATTTTTTAAAATGCATTTCTGGTGCTGAGCTCTGTGTCAGGAGCAGTTGTCTGTTCCTTCATTGGCTGGTGGGAGAAGTGGAAGTCATCAAGTGGAGAGGAAGCCTGGAATAAGCTGATTTTTCTCCTGGAACCATATGGAAGCTCAGAAATCCCTTATCTCCAGCAACCCATAAAGTGGTCAAGCAGTGACATTCAGGGAGTCAAGGCTTCCACTGTCACCATTTCATGCTGAATAGTTTTAAGGTGCTTTCCAAATTATAGTTCCTTTCCCCATCCTTAAAAGGAACACTTGCAAGGCAGTGACAGTCACTTGACATGTCATGGAACTGCTCTAGGCTTCCACAAGTCATTTTACCCTGGGTTTCTGCTGCTCAGTGATACTGGTGCTGGTTATCAGCAGCCAACATGACTGTGCTGTGTTTTGTTCTGCCTCACAGCGTTTCCTTTAGCAAGGGAAATGTTTCACTCAGTGAATGTTACAGCTCACTTCAGAGAGCTTCAGTGAAAGGGGGTTTTCACCTCTAGCATGTTCCTAGCAAGTTCTGAAGCATCTGAGATACAAGAAATTAAGAAATATTAGAAATGTTGTATTTCTTAATGGGAGAGAGGGAGAGTTAACTGTGTAAGTTAGTCACAAGTTAAATCAAGTTTTGGCTAAATATGATGGATTCTTTTAAGTATTCAAGGACCAAGCGTCACTGAGGGTACAGCGTTATTTTTCTGTGTTACAAAGTATTTTTTGTTCCTGCTCCTGTTCCCCTCCTCCATGCATCAAACATCAGGAATTATGCCTGTTAGTGAACTGGAGTTTGCCTTGCAATCCTGCTCACAAGTTGTTACCATTTTTATTATGGGTGTTGTCCTCTATGACTTATATGATGCTAAAATTTAAATTATGTGGCAGAAGCACATGTGCTTAATAAATTAAAATCACTTACTTTGGGCTATAATCTCTACATATGCACATATATTTGTATATATATATATAATGTTTAATATAGAATAATGCGCCACAAACAGAATATGCACATCCACAAACATAATATGCACATCCACAAACAGAATATGCACATCCACAAACAGAATATGCACATATGTGCTGCACAGAGAGGGGAAGGGGTGCAGGTGACAGTGCTGCTCTCCAAGGCACAGAGAGGGGAAGGGGTGCAGGTGACAGTGCCGCTCTCCAAGGCACAGAAATGGGAAGGGGTGCAGGTGACAGTGCCGCTCTCCAAGGCACAGAGAATGGAAGGGGTGCAGGTGACAGTGCCGCTCTCCAAGGCACAGGGAGGGGAAGGGGTGCAGGTGACAGTGCCGCTCTCCAAGGCACAGAGAAGGGAAGGGGTGCAGGTGACAGTGCTGCTCTCCAAGGCACAGAAATGGGAAGGGGTGCAGGTGACAGGGCTGCTCTCCAAGGCACAGATAGGGCACAGAGAGGGGAAGGGGTGCAGGTGACAGTGCTGCTCTCCAAGGCACAGAAATGGGAAGGGGTGCAGGTGAGAGTGCTGCTCTCCAAGGCACAGATAGGGCACAGAAATGGGAAGGGGTGCAGGTGACAGTGCCGCTCTGCAAGGCACAGAAATGGGAAGGGGTGCAGGTGACAGTGCCGCTCTCCAAGGCACAGAGAATGGAAGGGGTGCAGGGGCACAGATAGGGCACAGATGGTGGAAGGGGTGCAGGTGACAGTGCCGCTCTCCAAGGCACAGAAATGGGAAGGGGTGCAGGTGACAGTGCCGCTCTCCAAGGCACAGATAGGGCACAGAGAATGGAAGGGGTGCAGGTGACAGTGCCACTCTCCAAGGCACAGGGGCTGCCCCTGTGCTGCCGTACCTGCACCCAGGCAGGGCAGGGGCCCCGGGCTCCTGGTGCAGAGCCTGGGGCTGGCTACTCCCCTGGCTGGCTGAGTGACACTCCCTGGGGTATAAAAGGGCCCCTGGGCCGGGCTGTGCTGGGTGTAGCTGATAGAGCAGCAGGCACAGGGCTCGTTCTGGGAAGCTGCAGAGCCTGGGTGAGGTTGTAGCCACCAACAGGTCTGAGCCACACAAAATGCGTGAAATCGTGCACCTGCAGATTGGCCAGTGTGGGAACCAAATTGGATCCAAGGTAAGGTCTCTTTTCAACACTGATTACTGGCAGGGATCAGAGGTAGCAGGTCACACATCATCAGTGCATGGGGACTTCTGGGGGGACAATTACCTTGTAACTCAGTGGGGGAAGTGTGCCATATTAGCAGGGAACATGAGTATTTTGGTATGAAACCAAAAGCTGGATTTGTTCCTTTAAGGTTAATGTTCATTTGCAATAACCATGGCCCAGGGATTACAGGTGCACCAGAGCATTCCTGCTGGGACTCCTGTTCCCAGGGGAACTCACATCCTCTGCAAGATGCAAGTGACAGAGCCAGTAATTCCAGGGCTGTGAAGTTGTGTTGCTGGTACTTTAGCTCAGCCATGCAGCAGCTCTGCCACATTTTATTCTTCAATATCACAGAATCATACAATGGCTTGTGTTGGAAGGGGTCTTTAAGATCATATGGGATCATATTAACCAACAGCATAACCTGTGTTAGAGTGTAGAATGACACAAAGTGTCACTGGCCTGCTGTGAGAGACAGGTGTCATTTGGAGCATTTTTGTGTAGCTCAAACACTGGATGCTGTGACATAGGGAGTAGTCACTATTGCTGACTTTCTGGGCTAGGAGTAAAATTACCCCTCAATTACTATGCTGTGTGATGTCCATACTTTCTTTTTTTTTCTTTAATTGATAAGTAGGAAGTTGTCCAAAATTATCTACTTTGGGCTGGGAGCTCTTTTAAGACATGGGATAGTTGAGGGATTGTTTTGTTTTGTTCTTCCTCGCTTCTCCCACACCTAACCTTGATTCCTTTTAGTGGCACATGAACCATGGAGCATGCACCTGTTGACAGAGGTGTATTTGTACACTCAAAATGGGACTGGACTAACCCAGGAGAGCTTTAATATTAGAATAGCCTGGTCATTACAGTGGGTGGGTGTGTCTGCATGAACACTGCTGTGGCTGCTGCCCAGATAAGAGCCCAGCACAAGAGCACATCCATGTGAGTGTCAAGATAGGACATTTAGGAGCAGCAGCTGTTTGTGGAAAGGCTTGCTCACGTACAAATTTGCCTGTGCCAGCTTTGTGGTGCCATGACAGGACTCAAAGCAACTCTCCCTAATCCACACCCTCACAACCTTTTTGTTAAGCTCATACCAAGTAGTAACTGTTATTTAAAATTTTAAACTAACATCCATTTTCTTTTACTATAAAGAGAATAAATTGAGGGCTGCCACCTATTAGTGCACAGGTCATAGCTAAGCAGCATAAATGGTCTGCTAAACTTTTCCCTCAAATTTATTTGGGAGGGGTAGAGAAGGATTCCTGTTCTGATCTGGTGTGTAAATGGCAGAGCATCCCCTGCTTCAGGCACAGCTCCCAGAGCTGGTGCTAAACATGTGCTGAAAATTAAGAAATTGTTCTCAGTGTGTTGTACCTCTTTCCTTTTGCAGTTCTGGGAGGTGCTTGGTGAGGAACATGGCATTGACATCACTGGGAACTACCGTGGGGATTCCCCACTGCAGCTGGAGCGAATTAATGTGTACTTCAATGAGGCTTACTGTAAGTGCTCAGCAGAGCCAACGGGGAGGGTAAAATAAGTAATTAAAAAACCCACAAAAACCTAAACCACTCTAGGCGGACTGGACTTTCCAGAGTGCATTCTAAGCCTGTTTCTTTGAGCACTAGCAGTAATTATTTGCATGAATTTTGTTTGTTCCAGCCCATAAATACGTGCCCCGTTCCATCCTGGTGGACCTGGAGCCTGGGACGATGGACAGCGTCCGCTCCAGCAGAATCGGGCCCCTCTTTCGGCCTGACAATTTTATCCATGGTATGCACAGCACACTGCCAGCAAACTGACTGCAGGCAGCTGTCCCAAAAGGGCCCTGGAAGTCCTTCAAAAATTCTCCTCTTAAGCTGTGGTTGTTCTTCCTGTTATTCCGTTCACAGGTAATTCAGGTGCTGGCAACAACTGGGCCAAGGGCCATTACACAGAAGGTGCTGAACTGATTGAAAACGTCATGGATGTGGTCAGGAACGAGTGTGAGAGCTGTGACTGCCTTCAGGGGTTCCAGCTCATCCATTCCCTGGGTGGTGGCACGGGCTCAGGCATGGGGACGCTCCTCATCAACAAGATCAGAGAGGAATATCCCGACAGGATCATGAACACCTTCAGCGTCGTGCCCTCCCCCAAGGTGTCGGACACGGTGGTGGAGCCGTACAACGCCATCCTCTCCATCCACCAGCTGATAGAGAACACCGATGAGACCTTCTGCATTGACAACGAGGCTCTGTATGATATTTGCTTCAGGACATTGAAGCTCACCAATCCCACCTACGGGGACCTCAACCACTTGGTGTCCCTCACCATGAGCGGCGTCACCACCTCGCTGCGCTTCCCCGGCCAGCTGAACGCGGATCTGCGCAAGCTGGCGGTGAACATGGTGCCCTTTCCTCGCCTGCACTTCTTCATGCCCGGCTTTGCCCCGCTGACAGCCCGGGGCAGCCAGCAGTACCGGGCCCTGACGGTGCCAGAGCTCACCCAGCAGATGTTCGACGCCCGGAACATGATGGCAGCGTGCGACCCCCGCCGCGGGCGCTACCTCACCGTGGCCTGCATCTTCAGGGGCAGAATGTCCACCAAGGAAGTGGACGAGCAGCTGCTGTCTGTCCAGACCAAGAACAGCTCCTACTTTGTGGAGTGGATCCCTAACAACGTGAAGGTGGCCGTGTGTGACATCCCGCCGCGAGGGCTGAAGATGGCAGCCACGTTTATTGGCAATAACACGGCCATCCAGGAGCTCTTCATCAGGGTGTCCGAGCAGTTCTCGGCCATGTTCAGGAGAAAAGCCTTTCTCCACTGGTACACGGGGGAAGGCATGGATGAGATGGAGTTTTCTGAAGCAGAAGGTAACACCAATGACCTCGTGTCCGAGTACCAGCAGTACCAGGATGCCACTGCAGACGTGGAGGAATTTGAAGAGGTAGAAGTGGAAGCAGAAGCCAAGCCAGAAAAGGAAGCAGAGTAAAAAGTACCAAAATATCCTCCAAATGAGCCTGCTAACATTCACTAAAGACAAAGCAATAGCCATCATCTGCATACCCAAAATAACACACCTCTTCAGAACTTCTTGTGCATCTGGCCAAGTATATCTGATTTACAACACAGTGCTTTTGAAATTCATGGCAGCTCTGCTTTACTGTCTTGAACAACTGTTGAGATGGAATCTCTCCTCAAACCAATCCACTATGAGGACACGTTATCTCACACCAGCCTTTCCTGTAAATGGATTCACTTTCAGAACACAATCACCAGATACTGAATGTACCATACAGCCGCTGGGCCTGTGTATATAGACCAGGATCTTAGGCAATAGCAAAATGTGCTGTCAGCTCATCACATTTATTTATTGTCAGGTAAACACAGCCCTGCTGACTCTGAACTCGTTACTGTTTTAGGATCGTGTGCACATCTCTGAGGCCTCCAAAGGCAGTGACTCTTTTATCACTCCACAGACTGACGTAGATCTGCAGAAACAACAGGGGGCAAATGACTGAATATGCACATTCTTATTTTATAAGTACTCTAATTGTTTTATCACATTGCTGGCTTATATTATTGCAGAGCTTGTATTCATTATCATGGTGTGGTTTGTTTCTATTTCTAACTACAGGTTGAGTTACATTAGCACACTAAGTTGTGACATTGTGTAAAAGTTTTGGTGTGGTATTTTTTTTCCTAGGTACTAACTACTGTAAATTTTTTTCCTAACATTCAGTACAACAAAAATGACATAGAATGGTTTGTAGTTTGTTAATATAAATTCTATGGCAGTCACTAAAACAAAATCTTATTTTGCCTTCATTAAAAAAAATTCTTGTCATCACAGCTGCCTACTTAATGTATTTATAATATTATTTTAAATAAAGATTATATACCATTCTATGGAAGTTTTATACTTGAAACATTTGATAGACAAACCCCCATAGTTTATTCTTGCAAGAAGTAACTTTGAATTAAATTAGTTATACTCTTCAATGAAAAGGTTTAACAAAGGTTGTTGTACTCTGAAGAAAGTAACGCCTGATGTTTGAGTTCAGTCTTGGTGAAGGAACCTGAAGCCAATTCTCCTGTGCAGTGGGACAGTGTCATCCCTGCTGTGAGGACACACAGCAGCAGGAAAATGCAGCATAAACAATTCAGATTCCTGTGCCTCCTTCCCCACCTCTCACATGACACCAGCTCTCCCAATTCCGGATTCACTGCTCAGGGTCTCAGACTTTCAGACTGGATCTCCAGCAGCACATCCATGGCACAATTACCCTGCTTCCAGTTTTCAAATCCATATGCTACATTCTCTGTTTATACAGCTTTTAGCCCTGATTTTTTTTTCCAAAGTAATAATTTAAATGAAAAAGGCATAAAAGTTCTGAACAACAATCAAATCTCTCATTCATTTATGCACCTGAAATACCAGCATGAAATCCAAAAAGAGATTTGGCTTAAAATAAACAATGTGGCTACTGAATGTCCAGATTGTGCTAAAAGCAGCCTTTTATTTCAACAGAACTGAAAAGTAAATGTCCCTGCAGAACAGAAACTTAGTTTCAAGAGGAACTACACTTTCCACACATTCAGAAATTACATTTATTAGCATGTCAATTTACATACACAGGCAAGTTCTACAGCTCATGTGATGACATTACACTGCAGTCTTGAGCTCGCCTACTGCAGTCTGCAGCTCGCCTTTGCAGTTTGCTGTTATTCCCCACAGATCAGCTCCTACAAGAGATTAAAAAAACAAATTATTCAATTCAAGAATGGGTACAAGATACACTTTATACAAAAGGTAGTATTATTTAATCTCAGATCAGGAATCGAAGTTGTTGTATCCAGAACAGAAAATATTTCAGCTGCTTGTAATGTATGGAATGGCACAAATAAAGGTACAAGCAGCATTCGTCTCACACAGAGCAGATAACCCACAAAACGAATTTGCTGATCAGGGGAAGGAGCAGTTCAGAGAGGCTGCCTGCTGGCTTAGCAAGTATGAAACATGAAAACCACAGAGAAGCCTGTGAGTGTCACTGCAGAGACGCAGCTGTTCTGTGTAAGCCCACACCAAGTCTGACCAGACCCAAAGGTTCAATGCGGGGTCTGACAGCCAGCACATCTCACCCCACTGATGGGATCAGGCTGTTCCCGTCCCACCCGTACCCAGCTCAAACACCTGCGCACATTCGCCAGCCGCGATCCCTCCCCGCCCATGGCTGGACACGGAGCCGGTTATCCCCAGGTATTGGGGATTAATGGAATCAGCAGTCACAGTCACCGCTAACGCCGCTCTTGCCCTACAGAGCTCCAGCCACGCACCCGGCCCACCCCACCCACTTACATTTCACTCCTTTTTGGGCTTCACCGTTTTCACCGTGGCCACCGCTGCCCTCTCCGCCTCCGCTTTGTACTGCGGCTTCATGGCGGCCCGCACGGCCTGCGCGC